TCTTTAAAAACCACCAGCCACCCTATGGAATCTAGTTCTGTATGCACTATATACAAAATTTCATTTGAAATCTCTATGGAAATTCATCATATTTATACTTTAGTGCATCAGTATAATCTTACTAATGTTTTTTTTTTTTTTTTGGTACCTGGGATTGAACTTGGGTCCTTGCGCTTGCAAGGCAGGCGCCAGAACCACTGAGCTAAATCCCCCCCCTTCTTACTAATGGTTTTTACAGGCTCAGTTTTTCAATTTTTGTACTAACAATTTGAACTGAAAGTGGAGTGTTATTGGCCTATATATCAAATGCTTACTAGATGAAAGATAGAAAAGAAAAAAGAGAAAAAAGAATAAAAAGGTATTTGTTGCAGGGAAGGATGTTACACTAATGACAATCTAAATGTCACCATGCCCTTTAAATCTCCAAATGAACAATTATAGACAGAATTCAAGTTTTATTGTATTTTGATAAATGACTTGGAAAGCTTTGTAAAAATTCCATAGAGACTTTTAAAGAAATTTATGATCAATAATAACACTTGACACAACAAAAGGAAATCATAAAACAAATAACAATAAAATTACAATTAAAGTGATGATGTGTTTTAACAATAACATACGGCATTTTGAGGTCCCTACTGTATCTGTTTAAAAATCCAAAGGTATTCCATTTCCCAGAGAAAAGAAGCAATAACAGCATGTTTTCTTCTTACAGTGAATTTTATTTTAAAGAAAGAATAAAGAAAGAACTATTTTCTCAGTAATGCTAAAAAGATATAGAAAATTTAATTCTAAACATAATGTCAAATCAAACTTGTCCATGGAAGATTATGTGTACTGGCATTGTTGAAGGCATTCTCTCTTCCCTCCCCGCTTTATCTTTATCATGGTCTGGCATTTTTCCTTACCACCTATAAGGGATACAATTGTCCAAACATCATTCTACTTTCAGCTGCAAAGAACTGATGGCTTTCCCTATTGCCTAAAGCCATTTCCTTCCAGCAATGCAGACAAGACAGAGGAAGTAAAACTTTCAGTGAAGAAATTTCATTTAGTAGGATGGCAGGCCACCAAAATCACTGTCTCATTTTCCACAGAAGTACGCTGCTCATGTTCTCTGAGTTCCTCTCCATACATCTTTATGTAAAAAATTATTTTCATAAAATCTTATAAAATCCATTTTATTATTACATTGCCATCTCAAGTAGCTAACTCTACATAAGAAAGATATCACATTGCTTTTGTGTAAAATAAATTAGCTAATTTGTGATAGGTGAAGTGAAGGACTTTCGATTAGTATACAAATATATCACAATATTTCACAACAACCACAAAATGCCATTTTAATTAAAAATTTAATAAAATCTCTTGAGACAATTCATGAAAGAATTTAGTCTTCCAGATGTAACAGGACTGCCAAGTTTTTAACCAACACAACTACCACAGCAACAACAAAACAGTGTTGACCACTTATAAAATAAAAAAAACATGAATCAAAAAATGGCCTCCCAATTGAAAGCTAAATTTTAAACCAAATATTAAAAACAAAACTACTTTTTTGTTTAATATCTTTAAGTAGTCTTGAAAAACAAAGGGGTAGGGAAGTTTATTGCCACAAAAGTGAGTTTGTAGTAAAAATATATAGGTAAATATTATCAATGAATATCATATATATATTACTACATTGTCACTAACCAGTATAAATTTTGAAACTCCCATCGCTATCCTAGGAATAGTGATGGGTCTTCATAACCCATATTACCCACTGAGCATTGATTAGTGAGTGCTTTGTTTGTGAGGCATTTGTCCTTTGTACCCAGAGTAAACACTGACTTCAGGTGGACACTCAATCTATGGTCCCAACTTCATTTGAACAAGTATCCATCAACTGGGCTCACTCTAGTATCCATATTTATTGGGAAATAAAATTTAAATTTAATGGTTACTGAGTGATCCTCAAATCCTTGGTAAAAGATAGAGAGTCAAACCTAATAAAGTCATCATTATTAACTAGTAGTCACTCATACTAAAATTATGTTAGTTTATGCACTCCAATTTTTTCTCAAAATATATTTTAATCCAGTGGTAGTCACAGACTTCCAAAAAATACAATATAATTCACTTATATTTGAAACATTGTTGCTTGCTGACACTTCTGAACAATGGGAACACATCTCAGGATATTTTAATTTTGTCTCTTCAAAATCATAGCACAGGGTTGTAATCATACTGAATGTTCAACGAATTAAAAAGTTGAATTACAAAATATATAAATTTCCAGGGTTGATGAGTGTTATGGTGAAATAACTCATATCTTTGTGCATTTTTACATAAAAACCTACAAACATACTTCATGTCATATACTACTCTTGGAAGCTGGTTTAACAACAGAGACATATGGGATTCTTTGCAGATTTTGATATGCAAATCTGCAAAATAGAGAGATGTTATAATAAGTGCTGTGAAGGAAACCAGAAAGGTAGCAAGATCAAGACTCAAAAGAGGCAACTACTCTGGCAAGGAGATCAAGAATGATATCTTTGAGACAGAGATATTTGAGCTGAGGTGTAGTTTGTGCTAGCCACTCAAAGAGTGTAGGGCAATAGGCCAGCTTTGGGGACAGCATGCGAGAAGGTCTCACAGAGGTGACACTGCTTTGTGTGTTCCAGTACTGAGAGGGCAGTATGGCGGAGTGCACACATGAGGAGAAGACGGGTTCTGTTGAGGTTGGAGAGGAGCAAGAATTCAGAGAGTGAACTGTATGCTACAGGAAGGAATTTGCTCTTAGTGTTAACCCATCTTTGTGTTTCTCTGTTTACTCATTGTTTAATGCAGTCATGGCCCAAGCAATGCTTTTAAAGGAGAGTTGATAATATTACCTTGTATGGGGAGTGAATTCCTGGGAAATGAACCATAGAAGTGGAGAGACTCATGTGATGGTTATAGTAGGACTCCAGGTAATTATGATAATGACATAAATTCAGTTGGTAGCAGTGTAGATACAGAAAAGAGGATGGAAGAGATCTAAGAAGTCTGATAGCATAGAGACATATTTGGGAGAGAAGACTTGATAGACCTACATACAGGCTAGATAAGGATGAAATGTGGTCATGAGGAAGAGAGAGTATCAAGGTATCTTCATCACTTGGTGGATGGTGGAGCCATTTATTCAGATTATGAAGATTGTGAGACAGTTTAGGGAAAATTGTTAATTATTACCATTAGGATAACTAGGATGATTCCATTACGTTAATAAAGTTAGCTCCTTAATAAGTCCTGACTAATGTGTCTTAGAAAAATACCCTAGCATTTCACAGTCACTTGCATATCTAATGGGAATAGAATTTAGGTAAACATAAATTTTTATGAACTGTATAAATGCAAAATTCTTCTTTTTCCTTTCCATAGAGAAAGTGGATTAAAGATATTAAATAAGGTAAATAGAACCTCACTGATTCTTTCTCTAAATGTCTTTTCCTTTGCTGCCAAAATTCACCTCAGCAACAGGTAGCAAAAACACAGAAGCATTTCCACAGAATGGCTCCCATGATTGCTCCAGGGGCCTAGGGGAAGAAGGCATAGGTATGATGCTGGCAGAGAGCCAGAACTGACTCAGCTTTCTTCTGTGGAAGCTCAGGCGCCCTGTGAGCACAGCTCTGTAAGACAGAAGACCTCCTGAGGCATGTAACTGCGTTCCCTGACCATACAATGGTTTACTTCTAAAAGGAAACCTCCTTTCAAACACCTACAAAATGTAAAAACAAAAACAAAGAAAACCAGTATCTTAAGCTAAACTACTGTCAATTACCTAAATAGATGGTATGTCTTCCCTCATGTCAAATGTTGTGCTTTGTGTAGCATTTTGTTTTCAATGAGCTACTCAAAGGACCTGAATTCTAAATCTAGAGATCAGATAAAACTGGCATTCAAATAATACTTTTTTTAAAAGATCGTAAAACAAAATAATGAAAATATATTTAAAGTTACCAAAATAAAAACAGGGATTAAAAAAAAATTTCTTCTGTCCTTGGGAAAAAAGAATTAGAGAAGAATATTGCAAGTGTTTCTGAAAAGAACTGCACTTCCCAAAACTGCTTTCACCTTCAGTAACTGAAAATCTATTATTTCTTTAAAAATTTATGTTGATTTTGTCTTTATCTTATTGAAATAAGCTTTTCAAAAATTCCCCTAAGCTTCTTGCTCATGAAAATTGCTCTTATGTTCAGAGAAGGTGTAGTTTATTACAAATACTAAAACTTTTTGTAAACCTTAAAATTATGTGTTAAATTGATTACTATTATCACAAAAACTGCCATTCAAGTTATTAATTTGATAATCTTTCCTCGATCTTTTGTCTTTATATAAGGAAGGAAAATCCCTTTTTTCTACAAGTGCGTGAAAGTTTCGATTGAAACGGATTAAAAGTTAAAACAATTCTGAATCGTATCTGAATTTTGCTATAGGATGCTTATTTGCTTGAAGAAAACAGACTGCGTTGAGAAAGAGAGACCAAGCGGTCTGGCCCTTTATTCGCATCTTAAACGCCACGGCGCACCTCTCTCCCACAGGTAACAAGGACCAGCTAGGCCAGCGCTTCGCACTCCGAGGTTTAGACCCAGAACCCCGCAAGATCGTTAACCCTGGTACTGAATCCATCTAATAGCTTCGCGATGGTAGATCGAGAAAAAGACAAGTAAACCACTGAGTCTAGCTACCTTTCCTGTTCATATCCAGAACCTGGTGTCAAACCCACTGGGTCAAACCCAGCCCGCGAGCAGCTCTCTATTGAGCCAGTTGCCTTTCCAGCTTCTCTTCCCCCAATTGCGGAAATCACACCGGGGCCAAGCTTCCTCCCTGTACTTCCCAGGTGGCGCAAAACGCGGAGCAGAACCAAGACACTGAAAGGGGAGGACACAGGTGGGTGTGGCAGCTGAAGCGAGTGCGAGGGCGAGGTTAGCAGCACCCCTTCCAGCCACACCCGAGAGAAGGGACGCACTCACCTGCGACCTTGCCCGCCGATCATGCCCACCCCGGCACCTGCAGGATCCGGCTCCAGGGCGGGGCGCGCGGGAGCGGGGAACCGGTCCTTGTTCTCGGCCTCTCGGATACTGCGTCTTGCACTTTCGCTGGAATCCTGTTGCCCAGCAGACACCTGCCACCAGCCTCTGGTACCAAGCTAGCCCAGCCCAGGCCAGCGGAACCCGGCCACTAGAGACCAACAGCCGCGGCTGGAGCGCCGGCGAGTGCTGCGCAGGACTGAGTCCGGCTTGCGGGGCGCGCCCAGGGCGACGGCGACCCCGCCCTCCGAGGCCCAGGCGCGGGTTCTCCCTCCCGCCTCCGCCCCCGGGTCCCCACCCCTCTCTCCCTCGCTCCCTCGCTCCCTCGCTCCCTCGCTCCACCCTGCAGGCTACGCTGGGCGGGGAGCTAGCTCTGCGCGCCGAGGAGGGGTTGCTGCGGTCTGGGCTCTGGGCCCTGGGCGCTGATCGCAGGAGGAGGAAGGGGTCCCCACAGCTGCACAGTCACCTCACTGGGTGGGGCGCGTGCCTGTGCTCGCCTGTGTGTCCTGTAGCCAGAAGAGCCTTCCCTTCCCTCACCCCTGCCCTCGTTATCCCCTTCCTTCCTTCCTGCTCAGCATAATCTGTTAACGCTTCCGAGAAGCTACTTCGTGTGGCTTGGTGGCAGAGCGGGAGAAAAACTCCGGAGGAGGGAGGCGGAGACCTACGGCCAAGGGCCGGAGCCGCGGGAGCGGAGCCAGGCAGCTTCCCCGGACAGTACTTCCCCGAGCCTGGGCCAGTCTGGGATTCAAGGCTGGGAACTGGTTCCTACCCTAGGGTTTGGCCTTGAGGAGTGGGGTGGTGACGCTCAAGACCAGCCTGTAGGCTGTGGTTTTTCTTTTCTTCTTTGTAATCAATCAGGCTGCAGTCTTCCAGGCAGGCTAAGGATGCATTTTCTTTCATGGGTGAAGACTCAGAGGTTGTCACAGGTGGAGAGGGAGAGCTCGGAAGAAACTACGTTTTCCCAGACTTGGAATCACCTATGAGTTCTGCGTCTCAGAGCTCGGTAGAAGCGAATGTGAAAAGAAATCTTTATAATTACGCACGTGTGTGTGTGTGTGTGTGTGTGTGTGTGTGTGTGTGTTCTACAGCAATCTTTGAAGAAAAGCAATGGAAACAGGATTGAATTATCTTTCTCAAAGACAAAGAGGAAACTTCCACCCAGGGAAGGCATCAAAGGATTCAGGCCTCCAGAAAGAGCAGACCATCCTGCTAAACACCAGCGTCTGGCACTTGCAGCTACTGTATGTTGTTGTTTGTTTCCACACCTTCTATCATGGAAATGATGATTAGTGGAAAACATCAAAGATTTTAAGCCCCAAGGTCTACCTTAACACTTTCTGAGCTTCTGTTTTGCCCTGGGGCTTTGGATCTTCTAGATTTGCATTGTACTGTGTATTAGTGAGGGAAAGAAACTCAGTTACTGAGGCTCTACTTCAGAGTTGAACTAGGTCACTTGGGATAATTATCAGTGCCACACCCAGGATAAATCACCTTCTTTTGCCTGATTGGTTGGAGATATGGTAAAAAGAGTTCAGTTGTATTAGGAATGACAAACTTTTTTATTAGATGCAATAACTGCCACATTTTTATTTTTTAAACTATTTTTTAAGAGTTTTAGATTCATGGAAAAATTAAGAGGACAGTGCAGAGGTTTTCTAAATTCTCCTTACTCCAGGACATACACAGTCTCCCCCATGACTACCATCCCTCCACAGAGTGGTAGGGTTGTTACAATTGATGAACTGTCATTGACGGGTCATTATCACCCAAAATCCAAAGTCTTGTATAGTGTGTGCATTTGACAGATGGGTTATAACTTATATACATCATTATGTTATTACACAGTAATTTCACTGCCCTAAAAATCCTTTGCACACTACCTAAGTGTCCTTGAAATCTCTGGAAAGCACTGATCTTTTCACTATTTTCAGCATTTTGCCTTTTCCAGAATGTTCTGTAATTGGAATAATATAGTATGTAGCATTTTCAGATTAGTTTCTTTCACTTAGTAATATTTATTCAAATTTTCTCCATGTTTTTCTATGACTTTATAACATACTTGTTCATAGTATTGAAGGATCTTCCTTTGTATGGATGACCACAGTTTATTCATTCACCTCCTCATGAACACCTTGGTTGCTTCCAAGTTTTAGCAATTATGAGTAAATCTTTTATAAACATTTATGTGAATATTTTTGTGTGGACAGAAGATTTCAATTACTTTGACCAAATAACAAGGAACATGATTTGCTGGATTATGTAGTAAAAATGGGTTTAGTTTTTGTAAGAAACAGGCGAGCTATGTTCCAAAGTGGCCCTGTGGATCATTTTTCATTCCCATCAACAGTGACTGAGAGGTTCTCTAGCCCAGTGTCCTAGTCAGCATTTGGTGTTGTCAGTGTTCTGAATTTTGGCCTTTCTAATACTTGTGTGGTGGTATCTCACATCTATTGCTGATACCATAGCTATTCTTAATTTCCATTTCCCCCATAATACACGATGTGGACCATCTTTTTATATGCTTATTTGCAACTATGGTATTTTTGGTGAGGTGTCTTTTAAGTTTTTTGGATCATCTGTTTGTTCTTTTGGGTTTAAGAGTTCTTTGTATATTTTAGGTAACAACATTTTTATCAGATGGGTCTTTGCAAATATGTCTTTTCATTCTTGTGACTGTCTTTTGCAGAGCAGAGATTTCTAATATAAATAAAGTGTAACATCAGTTTTCTTTCCCCATGGATTATGCCTTTTGTGTTGTATCTAAAATGTCACTGTAGCTCAGTGTAGAGCATTTGCTTAACATTTGTGAGTCCCTGGGTTAGATCCCTACCACGCGCGCACACACACATACACACACACACACACACACACACACACACACACACACACAAAGCTATTGCCATATCCTATGTCGCTTAAGTTTTCTTCTGTTTTATTTTCCAGAAGTTTTATAATTTTGAATTTTACATTTAGGTCTGTGATCCATTTTGAGTTAATTTTTCCAGAAATTTTCTTGCCACCTTGCTGAAGTCCCCCTGTAGGTAAGTTTTCTGTTGAAAACACTGAGAAATCAAATTGGGCCAATCGTATCTCTCATCCTTCTGTAACATCTGATCTCTGTCCTGACAGGGGATAATCTATGATATGTAGAACATTTAGAATTTATAGGATATTAAATATCTTCTTTCCATAGGAGGACAAATTAGAACATATTGACTGTAGCCAATTAAGACAATTAGAGAAAAATGACAAATACCTTTAAAATTATAGTTGTAAATATGATAAACAGATTTTTAACAAATCCCTTAATACTCAGAGTTCCTTTAAAAAGCAAAATTTAAAACAAAACAAATTACTATATTATAGACTATTAAGTGAAACATTGGATTTGTTATTCCTAGAGATCACACAAAATAAAGACAAAAAGATTCAAGATGATTTGGTAAATGATGGCACCATATAGAATTGTTTTAAGAATTTAGTGTCACCTCTACTCATTAATGCTATATAACATTACCCAGAAAGCACTAATTAAGACAGTGACAGAAAAAGATATTTGTCTGATGATTTCTTGGTTTAAGGGCATATAGCAATTTTTAAGATTAAAATGGATTTAATTTGAAGATCAATATTAATATTTTAATTGATGTAAAACTATTTCCCGCCTGTGGGAAAGAGATGTGATGTCCCTTTTCACCTCCCACTACGATGATATAGAAATAAAATATATATTATTCTCTTGTCTTCTCTGTTTCTCCCTTTTCCACTCCAAGTATCTCAGCATTCATTCATAAGCTTATACTATTCACTATGCCTGGTTCTCGTTAGAGAGCTACAAAAAAAAAAAAGTGCTGTCCGAAGGATCCTCCATATAGTTCTGTCAATAGGCTCTTTGGAAAAGCATGACATATATTATTCATTATCTTCCCACTTCTCTCTCATCTTCCAACTATTTCTTTATTGTCATTCTTTTTTTGGTGTTTGTGTCATTCTTGGTGTCTAAAACACTCTGTAATGTCTTACTTTTAGTGTGTGCTGGTTTTATTACTCTTTTGGCAGCGTTAGGACTTCTGTCTGTTTAAATCCAGGAGAAAGACTATCTGAACCTCCCACTGAATATTATACTAAACACTTCTGAGAGTTCACCAGACACCAAGTGTTGATGCCCCTTGTAGACATAAGTAGTGTCTTTAGCATGGTAAATGACAGTTTTGAATTTTCAAAGGAAAAGGATACTTAAGATACTTGTCTAAATAGTCTACAACCAATAAATTCCTACCATTACTTACTTTTCTTTTCTTTTCTTTTTTTTTTTTTTTTGGTACCAGGGATTGAACTCGGGTCCTTGAGCTTGCACAGCAGGAGGCAAAACCACTGAGCTAAATCCCTGGCCCTGTCTTACTTTTCTTGTTGCTGAGACAAAATACTCAACAAAGCCAAAGTTAAAGGAGGAAAGGTTTATTTGAGCTCACAGTTTTTAGAGGCTTTTGTCCGTGGTCAGCTTGCTCTGAGACAGTGTGACATAGTGGAGGGACATCACAGAGGAGAAACTGCTCATGACAGGCAGAAGATAGCAATGCAGTGAAGTAGCAAAGCAGTAGCAGTAGCAGCAGCAGCAGCACCAGCAGTGAAGACAGTAGCCCTCTTTCTGTCCCTGATATAGTATCTAGGTTACCTGCCCTTAGGGCTGGTAGCATTCACACCCAGAGTGGGGCACCCTTAATCCTAGCATCACACCATTAATCCCAGCATAATATACTTAATTCCATCATCACACACCATAGATCCAACGACCTCTGAAGAGCCCATCCTATGACCCCGTGAAGCTTTGAGGGACCATCTAGATACAAGCTATAACATTACTCATAACTGATTTTTTATAATTTGGATAGAAAAATGTAGAGATGTATATGTGAATTAGCCAATATTATACATCAAAACCAGAATATTAATAAAGATTTTTTTCACTTTGAGTAACATGGAAATCTACACCTCTCCATCTTTCTCACCATTGCTCTAATTTTTAAAATTATAGAATCTTCTGGACCTTGAACAAATATAATATTAAGACAATAAAGTCATTAATTGCTTGATTTATCTTTTTTAAATAAAAAGAATTAGAAATATACATTTACATTTTAATACTTACCATGTGGGAGTAGTCTTTGATTGGTTTTGTTTTGGTTTGTTACTGGGGATTGAACCCAGGGCCTTGCATATGCTAGGCAAGTGCTTTACTACTGAGCTATATTCTCAA